AATTAGCTAGCGCTGGAAATACTACTACAACCAGACGTAAACAAACTGCATTACTGTATACAGTAGAATACAGTGAATACAGATTATTTGACAACGCAGAGAAAGTGTTTTCTTTACAATATTGATCCAAACAGAGAGATCTACGAGCAGCAGCAGCAGCAGCAGCAGCAACAAACATATGACACGGAGGTAAACAATCATAAACAGCGCACTACACACTCGAGATTTAAACTACAGACGTGTGTGAACGATCTACGCACAATATGAGAGATTTATGGAGTGAAACATAAAGAACGAGCACAAAAACATTGTGTTTATCAGAGGAGACTTACCGAGTGCGTGTGTAATCCAGAATGAATGGAGAAAGCCGGCTCTCTCTGTTTGAGAGCAGCGCCCACAAAGTTTTCCCCATAGTACTTGGATGGGAGACCGCCTGGGAATACCAGGTGCTGTAAGCATTTTGCCCCTGGAGCTCGGGCCTGGGGGCGAGCTCAACAACAGCGCGAGTTGTTGTCGTGTAGTTGAGTTGAGTTGAGTGCAGCTTGCAGTTGTTTCCGTCTCTCACCACTCATCATTTCCGGTAGCATATCAAACAAAATAATGGAAGTTGTTTTAGTAGTGTTTGTTTCCACTGCATAGCAAAGAAATTGGTGAATATTTCATTTAGAATGTTTTGATTTTCCAATTTAATTTAGAAAATGGAAATACAATAAAACAACCACGTAATTTGTTTTTCTGATTTTGTTTTGAAACGGAATAACTAATGATCGAAGGGTACACGGATTATATTGAAGCATAAAGGATTTGATTTTCCAATTTGATTTAGAAAACGAAAATACCAATAAACGAATGGAAAATTTGTTTTTCTGATTTTATTTTGAAACGGAATAACTAATGATCGAAGGGTACACGGATTACGGATTTCCCTCGTTATTCGTTTTTTCAATGTTGGTTTTATTTAGAAAATCAAAAGAACGAATGATACATGGATTCTAAACCATCTGTGTGGCGCCCTCTCTACCTTTTTGGTGGCACCACATTTGAATTTTGTGCCAGGCCTCTCCAGTGTGTAAACAAGTTTGGAATGAAAAGTTCTAGTGTGTAAATTATTGCTTTAAGCATCAATGAGAGCTGCCTGATTATTTTTTGTGTGTGACAAGCAAGCTGTCAATCACAGCCCAGACCACACCCAACTCTAAGCCCCCATTCTTGTCCCCTGGTCCTCCAGGCAACGCCGCTTTTAGAAATTATATTCAAATGTTAATGTGGGCGGAATACGCCTGGGCACAGGTGTTTAGTCGCACTTTAAACTATTAGCTCTGTACATGTGTGGAGCAGGTTCCTGGGTCAGTTGGTTTTATGATTGTGTTAAAAGAAGCGTTCATCCTCAATGTGCAGTGTTAGAGCTAGGGTTCTATACTGACAGCTGGACACAGAAGGGGGAGGAGAGGGAAGAGAGGGGAGAGGAGGAAAGAGGGGCAGATTACCAATGTCCATAGAGGTTGTTCAATATCGAGTCAAGTGTCCTGTAGGGAAAAACTAATGAATAAAAACAAGTTGGAAAAAGTGAGAAACCCACATTGAGAGAGGAATGCGCTCCCCCGGACAGACGGGCTATTGATCAAGGACTCAGGTCCTCTTGGCTGTAGAACAAGGACAGAGACCACGCGATCCAGGACAGAGGCTGTAGAACGAGGACAGAGGACACGCAATGCAGGACCAAGGCCACACAATGCAGGAATGAGGCAGCTCCCAGGTGGGGAGAGGGAATCGGGCCGGGGAGGACAGTCCGCTGGTGCTGAAGAAGGAGGTCAGGTTCAGGGGTCCCATCATCACTATGAAACAGACAGCGGATGAATAGCAATAAACAGATTAAAGCTGAAGTGATAATGATGACAGATAAAGAAGGAAAGAGGAGAGGATAGGGCTCAAGTTACCATATTTCTCCCAACAAAGTGCAGCTTGACTGACAATCTGTGTTTTTTAGACTTTACAAGTCCAAGCATTTTTGTCTTACCTACCTAATCATAGGCAAAATTAAAGAGTACTGTTTTCAGGGGCGAAAGTGGCTCAGTTGGTAGAGCATTGGCCTTAAGGGCACGGTCATATAGGTTTTTACAAACGTACTAGGCCAAACGGCCCGCGGTCACATGAACGTGTTCTCTGAACCCTGCCAGGGAAATTGTGCTGTAGTACAACACTCAGTCCAGCTGGTGGGGCTAATACTAACACCAGAGACTACCTCGTTGCCCTGGTTGAGATCCGCTTCTTTTCCTGTTTACGTTCTGCTACTGTAGCTAACAGCTAATAGCTACAGTTACAGTAGCTAACAGTTCCGTATTTAGTCAGCCACCAATTGTGCATGTTCTCCCACTTAAAATATTGACAGAGCTCTGTAATTTTCATCATAGGTACACTTCAACTGTGAGAGACAGAATGTGAAAAAATAATCCAGGAATTCACATTGTAGGATTTTTAAAGAATTTATTTGTAAATTATGGTGGAAAATAAGTATTTGGTCACTTCAAACAAGGAAGATCTCTGGCTCTCACAGACCTGTAACTTGTTACCTGTATTAATGGCAACTGTTTGAACTCGTTATCTGTATAAAAGACACCTGTCCACAGCCTCAAACAGTCAGACTCCAAACTCCTATATGGCCAAGACCAAAGAGCTGTCGAAGAACACCAGGAAACGAATTGTAGACCTGTACCAGGCTGGGAAGAGTGAATCTACAATAGGCAAGCAGCTTGGTGTGAACAAATCAACTGTGGGAGCAATTATCAGAAAATGGAAGACATAATCTCCCTCGATCGCAAGATCTCATCCCGTGGGGTCAAAATTATCATTAGAACGGTGATCAAATATCCCAAAACCACACGGGGGGACCTGGTGAATGACCTGCAGAGAGCTGGGACCAAAGTAACAAAGGTTACCATCAGTAACACACTACGACGACAGGGAATCAAATCCAGTGTCAGACGTGTCCCCCTGCTGAAGCCAGTGCATGTCCAGGCCCGTCTGAAGTTTGCCAGAGAGCACATGGATTATACAGCAGAGGATTGGGAGAATGTCATGTGATCAGATGAAACCAAAGTAGAACTGTTTGGTATAAACTCAACTCGTCGTGTTTGGAGGAAGAAGAATACTGAGTTGCATCCCAAGTACACCATACCTACTGTGAAGCATGGGGGTGGAAACGTCATGCTTTGGAGCTGTTTTTCTGCTAAGGGGACAGGACGACTGATCGGCGTTAAGGAAAGAATGAATGGGGCCATGTATCGTGAGATTTTGAGCCAAAACCTCCTTCCATCAGTGAGCGCTTTGAAGATGAAACGTGGCTGGGTCTCACCTCAACCCCATTGAAAATCTGTGGAGGGAGTTGAAAGTCCGTGTTCACTGCTCTTGAGAAGATCTGCATGGAGGAATGGGCCAAAATACCAGCTACTGTGTGTGCAAACCTGGTAAAGACCTATAGTAATTGTTTGACCTCCGTTATTGCCAACAAAGGTTATATTACAAAGTATTGAGTTGAATTTTTGTTCTTGACCACATACTTATTTTCCACCATCATTTACAAATAAATTATTTTAAAATCCTACAATGTGAATTCCTGGATTTTTTTTCACTTTCTGTCTTTCACAGTTGAAGTGTACCTATGATGAAAATTACGGACCTCTGTCATTATTTTAAGTGGGAGAACTTGCACAATCGGTGGCTGACTAAATACTTTTTTGCCCCACTGTATATCTCACACTTGTCCACATTGCTCTGATCGCAAAGTGCAGCAGTTCAGTGGGTAAGGTGTGAATGTGTGTGTGTGAGCGCTGAGAAATGAATGAATGAGAATGAAGGAATGAAAAGTGTGGAGTACGAGGAGAGAGACCGCAGACAGGGAGGTTATAAGTGTGTTTGTGTGTGTGCTGGTGATTAAATAATGACTGATTCTTGAATGTCTGAAGTGTTATTGCAATAGCACCACACTGAGAGCAAGGGCCAGGACCATGGATCTATAATAATAACGGTCAGGACAGAAGAGAGCTATACCCATAGGAAAGGCTTTTCTTATATGAAAGGTTTAACACAAGCGGAGAATACGAAAGTGCAGGGAGAGTGTGTGAAAATGCGCGTCACAGGAAGACGTAATCTGACACATAATATCAAGTCTCCACCACACCTAATCCCCCACTCCCCACCACCCGCCACACTGACCCCCCTCATCTGCGCTGGGAAGCGGGCCCTGGCCGCAGTTTTTAACCGGGCCAGAGCACGAGTCCAGGAATCGTGCTCTGGCGTGAATGCCGTGGTAGGTGGCACCTAAAGCCCGGATCAAACTGCAAAGCACAACGTGACCGCAGCCTAAGGCCACCATGAGACCGACTCCAACTGATGTCTACTGTTGTTGTGTCCTTGGGCAAGACACTTAAAGCCCACTTTGCCTGAAGCCCCCGCTGAAACATCAAGGCTGTATCGTTAACAACAGAGCAGCCATCCACCTGTGGACTCACCACCTGCAGGGGGATCAGTGAGGGGCTGGTGCTCTGTGAATTGGGTGGCAGTTGATTGGACAAAGGGGAAGATGATGGGTGAATTGATAGTTACGTGTTCCCTCCTGCCAGCTAAGATCCTTGTTGCTGTATTTTGCATACTTGTAAGAAGTCACTAATGTCACTAATTGAATGTTTGGGCTTAGAGTTGATTGGTGTGAGAAATACAAAAGAAACTATAGAAGATAAAACTGAAGCCACTGACATTATTATCCCTAATAACATAATCCAAATGTGACTGTATAACACTGCTTTCTTGATGTCTGTTGCAGGTGACGTCTCCCTGTCTTGATCTGCAAAGTTAACAAGTCCAAAAACTTCAGTTCACTCCTCATCTTTCATCACGTAACAATGGGAACGGTTTTGTCCATTTCCCCAATTTCACGCAAATCTGGCCTCTACTACGACCACCGCCCTGGATCACTTAATCACTACCCGCCTTTGAACAATCATATGCTTGGCAAAGACAAGAGCAGCCAGTCCATTTTTCTCCCTGCACTCACATGGAAGCGCATTGTCACCTCCACCAAGAAGAAAAGCAACCCGAAGAAACCACTGGCCGACCACCTCAACAACAATAGCATCCACTTCTACCACAAAGACCCCGTTTTGCACCTGAACCATGAAAACGTCAAAAAATCGCTGTCGTGCGTTAATCTTTCAAGCCATGACGGCTACACCAACAATATTGGAATTGGCTATTGCAAATTGCAACAGCTTTCCTCTGTGAAAAAGGTACCGCAAGGAGCACTAACTACATCTCCAAAAAGAGTTATTGTACAAGCGTCAACGAGCGAACTTTTGCGATGTTTGGGCGAGTTCCTGTGCTACCGATGCTACCGTTTGAAGCATCTCAGCCCGGCCGATCCCGTGTTATGGTTGCGGGCCGTGGATCGGTCGCTGCTGCTGCAAGGATGGCAAGATCAGGCTTTTGTGACGCCCGCGAACGTTGTTTTTGTGTACATGCTCTGTCGTGATGTGGTGGATGGCGATTTGATTTGTTCAGAGCACGAGTTGCAAGCAATTCTGCTAACCTGTCTGTATCTGTCCTATTCCTACATGGGCAACGAGATCTCCTATCCGCTCAAGCCGTTTCTGGTGGAAGCGGGGAAGGAGGCATTTTGGGACCGCTGTTTGGCAATCATAGATGTGACCAGCGCCAAAATGCTCAAGATAAACGCGGATCCGCACTTTTTCACACAGGTTTTTGCAGAGCTGAAAATTGAAGGAGGGTGTCTGCCGCAGGATATTGGTCGCATTTTGGAACGATAAAAAGTTAACCGGGACTTATACAGTAGACATTTCATGCTATTATGGTACTAATATGGACGCCACATGGAGCGATTTAGCTGGGTGATATGGAAAAGCTTCTCTTATTGACGCTTGTCATGGGGTTTTCTTGTACAAATGGCTTATAACTAGCCTGGGTGCAGCCGAACTTAAGCCCTGCCTACACCCTATTTCACCGAACCAATCAAATTGTCAGGACAGGGTTTATACGATGATGGGCAGGTGATCAACGTAAGCAGCAACGTAATATTCTTTCACACAACACCTAGCTTGATAGAGATTCGGGCTGGCCCATGATCGCTCTGCAGTTCATCCAGAGCGATCATGGGCCTCTTGGCTGCATCTCTGATCAGTCTTCTCCTTGTTTGAGATGAAAGTTTGGAGGGACGGCCGGGTCTTGGTAGATTTGCAGTGGTCTGATACTCCTTCCATTTCAATATAATTGCTTGCACAGTGCTCCTTGAGATGTTTAAAGCTTGGGAAATCTTTTTTGTATCCAAATCCGGCTTTAAACTTCTCCACAACAGTATCTCGGACCTGCCTGGTGTGTTCCTTTGTCTTCATGGTTCTCTCTGCGCTTTAAACAGAACCCTGAGACTATCAAAGAGCAGGTGCATTTATACGGAGACTTGATCACACAGGTGCATTCTATTTATCATCATCAGTCATTTAGGACAACATTGGATCATTCAAAGATCCTTACTGAACTTCTGGACTGAGTTTGCTGCACTGAAAGTAAAGGGGCCGAATAATATTGCACGCCCCACTTTTCAGTATTTTCAATGTTTAATTTATTGTATTGTCTAAAATGCCTTTTGTTTTTGATTTATTTATAATGTACAATGCAAACTGAGCAGTTGCTGTTTTTGCTCAGGTGCAGGAGGCGAGCATTTTGAATTCCCTCTTTATTTTCAGCTAACATTGGAACAATCCTATTGTTACTATTATTAATGTAAACTAAAATATTTTAAGTCAAAACTCAATTAAATTAAATTTAGATTCATAAATATTAATAATCTTCATATTTTTCTACATTTATAGCATTAGCTGATTTTGATGTTAGCTTAATTTTTCTTACATTTAATGTTGGATTGTTTATTTTATACATTGTAAACCACATTTCAAATGTAGCTTGTAACAGTATTAACCCATTGGGCTGGAACTGATGAAATGTTGAAACTGTCTGGAAGGTAATGCCACCATCATAGATTTTACTTTTTCAGTGGAGACAAACAATGTTTAAAGTGTAATAATAATGCAATTTACAGTGTAATGGCAGTGGTTCTCAAACTGTGGTGCTGGTGCCGCTGGAGCTATGTAATTTTTTACAAGATGAAAAATATTAAATATACAAAACGCACATTGTTTTCTCTTTTATTTTGTAAGTTATCAAAGTTATAGTTTTAGAATGGTTTTTATTTTTCTTCATTGGATAAAGATGTAAAATGGAATAAGAAATTGCCAGGATATATAATGTCAAGTGTTGGAGCAAAGGTGATGCATTCCATTTACAAGGAGCATAATGGGAGAACTCTACTTTCAGTACTTTCAGTATTACACAAGGAACTGTAAGAAGTTTCTGAGTTTCACAGATCTAATGTGCAGTCTTTGAACACAGGCCTAATGTGAGGTCGTTGAAAGCAGGTCTAATGTGAGGTCTTGAAACACAGGTGTATTGTGAGTTCTTTGAACACAGGTGTAATGTGAGGTCTTCAAACACAGGTGTAATGTGAGTTCTTTAACACAGGTGTAACATTAGGTCTTTAACACAGTTGTAATGTGAGGTCTTAAAAACAGGTGTAATGTGAGGTCTTCAAACACAGGTGTAATGTAAGGTCTTCCACAAGACAATGGGTGGACAGTGGGTGGTCACCGGGTCAGCCCTGTTTACTCCGTTGTGCTTTGTGGATGCTGTAGTCGGATTAATGTGATTTGCAGATTAGCCCCACCCCCTCCTCCAGTAATCCAGACTGAGAAAGAGTGAGTGAGTGTGCAAAAAACAAACACTGTACATGCTGTTTTATTTATTCAGTTATTGGAAAATACATGTATGAGGGTTTTACCAAGTGTTTATGAAACTGTTTGGACCTAATTTTCAAACACATTCAAACATGCAAGTATCTATAGCTCGTTCAGAGGGAAAGACCAACAGAAACTCCCCAAAGAGGATGGCCCAGTCTGTCACTTGCCGTGATCATACTGCAAGCCCAGAACCAAATTGCTTGTCAATGTGTGACATTTCTCGACAAGTTGTTTGCAGGCACACACAAACGCACACACGCGTGCACACACACAATGAACCAGTACGTTAATCCCTTTGTCCTCAGATTTAATTGTCCTTTGTCACTGCATGACACAGCTTTAGTCCAAGGACGTTCCACACTACATCCAAATGGACGACTGTAGTTTCAGGTACAAATGAAGAGGATACTGTTCCCGTTATTGAGTTATGATGAGAGTTCAAGTGGCCATATCCAGAAGTAACTATTTTTATATGTAATTCCTTTTTATTTTATCATTATACTTTTAAACATAAATATCTGTACTTTCTACTCCTCACATAAAATGGGTTTTCTACTTTGCTAAAAAAGGCACAAACATAAAAGAAAAAAATGCACAGGGAAGTTTGCGCTGTGGTGACCCACAAATGTTGTGCACGGGTTGAGAGTTTCCCCAAGTTATTCAACTAAGTACTGTTCTTTGGTGAGGTATCCTTTTCTGAGCTTGATGCTCGTCTGTACGGTAACGGTGTGTAGCTGAACATAATAAGTAGTGAAAAGCTAAGTTTTCAAAGCTACGTCTCCTGCCTCATACTTTTTTCAACTCCACAGTCCTAAACATACAGCTTTATCAAAATTTTGACTCAATAACTCAAAAATTTTACTTAAAAAATCAAACAAAATTATTACAAAATTCCAAAAAATTATTAAAAAAATTAAAAACAATTACTTAAAAATTCCAAATTTTTACTTAAAAAATTCCAAATTTTTACTTAAAAAATCAATATTTTTACTTAAAAAATCCATATTTTTACTTGAAAATGCAAAATTTTTACTTACAAAATTCAACATTTTTACTTAAGTGTTTAGATGATGTAGAGAGATTTAAGGCAAATTGGTGAAACGTCAGAGGAGGAGTTGCTTTCCAACCGACATATCCATTTTAATGTTTCCATTTTGTAATGAATTTTATGGGCTTCCTGTTTGTCAGGGCAGGGGCGTGGCCATAATAACTTTTTTTCCATGTCTTGACTTGAGGAACATGTGTACCAAATTTCATGGCTCTACAACAAACTTGACCTTGAACCCCTCCCATAGGCGTATTAAATTGACTGTTGTAGGGGGCGCTGTTGTGGCATTGTTTTAGTCCCATAAAAATAAACACATAAATAATACATTTTTTGCCAGGTCTGATTTTTGGGCCAATATTGGCAAGTTTTCATGCATGTTCAGGGGGTCAAAATAAGGCTTAAAGTGCAGAAGAAAAAAGAAAGAACTACAAAAGGAGTTTTTTTCCCAAGGTCTCCGAGCAAAAACAATATAGGTTTCAATGGCACATGATACATCATTTTAAACCGTTTGAGGATACGCATGCAACCGTCACGTTTTGGTGAGTGACGGGCACTGACGCGTCCGTCACGCACCGCGACCCCTTGCATTCACCCTTGTGAAAGCAATAGGCCCTAACCCCAGTCGGGGTTAACAAATGTAAAGCACAAACAAAAACTGTTTCAGAGTTACGTAAGTCTATTCAAAAGAGATGCAACTTGAAGTCCAACTGTAAAATTACAACCACTTTCAGCATAATTCCATGTTGCATCCAACCTGACGCACTGCATTCATGCTCATCACCAGCTGACAAATGCATATGCAAACACAAATGAGGAATTATTATTATTGTAGCCAAAACACTTTCCTTGTACTTGGGGCTTCACAGGTTGTGGATGCTGTACTTGCTCGTTCCCACTTGTGTGATCGTCAATGACCGCAGCAAAAGTGCAGCTGTCTAGTGATGGGCAAATTAAGCCCGTAACACACAAAGGCTTTCTCTGTCAGATTGTTTTGTGTCAATGCCTCTTAAAGCTGCACTAACTGACTTTGGGATTTTGAAGCCGCGGACTCGCTGGCCTCGCTCTTTCTGCTCCCCTCCCCGCACCCACGAAGCTATCGCCCCCCACACACACACAGTGTTGAGACGGAGCTAGCCTCTCCCAATATGGATAATACATGGATATGGATTTTCACGTGGATGGCGTGACCATAGAACGATAGAACCGGGAAGCGCGGAGGAACGAGACTTTCTTTTGGATGGCTGTTTCGCTGTGTAAGCAGTACCCGGTGACGAAGACGAGAAAGTTTCAGGTTAGCTCCGCCGCTTGTTGTGCTAACTCAGCCGTCTATGCTAACGGACCTGGAGATTTCTCACGAAAGTGGGGGCTAGTGGTGCGCTGTGATTGGTCACAATCTGCGACCCGAAACACATTCTCTTCCTTGTTTCATCAAAACTCGATCGAAAATATAATGTCAGGCCAGCACAAATCTGCGCTACTTTTTCTTCAAAGGACGTATATCCCAATGCACTACATGGACATGGATAGCATTTTCGTAATTAATACGAAAATAAAGTCAGTTAGTGCAGCTTTAAGTATCTCATTTTAGGCTGTTACACTGACATCTGCTGGACAAATGTAATAATTGCAGCGTCTGAATACTGGAGTGCAAGGCAAACATCCCACCACTTTTTTAAATGATGACAATTTTACTATTTACCCATTAATGGTAAATTACACACTGCAAAAAGTAAATTCTAAGCAAGTAAAAAAATCTTGAAATAAGAAAAAAACCTTGTTTCTTGTATGAAAAAAATAATCTTGTCTAGCAAAATTTCCTTGAATATAATTCGGTAACACTTTATTTTAGCACCCACCAACTAACAGCTAATTATGTGCTAATTTGTGTATTAATGTATGGTTAATTAGCCCT